AACATGTAAAACAGGAACATGAAAGGAATATTCTAAAAGCAACTCATGTAAACACCATAATCATAATATTGGCTTATTTAGAATAAGGTAAATAATTAGATTACTGATGTCCATTTAAACATAGAGTGAGAGAGAGCGGCCCTAAAAGAAAGAACAGACTCAAAAAAATGATTAAATCACGAATGATTATCATCATTCAAAAGAACAGCATTCAGTTGAAATAAAAAATATTTTGTAACATTATTAATGTATTTACTGTCACTTTATTAAATGTAATGCATCCTTGCGGAATAAAAGTATTTCTTTAAAAAAAGGGGGGTAAAAAAAGAAGGGTAGTGTACATATACATTAAACTTATTTACATAGTATGTTTAGATATTAGATACAAAGACGTTTGTCCAATTCCTGCTTACACCTAATTTGTGAAAAGACTAAATATTCATGAAAAGGCTGTTTGTGTGTACAGCATAAATAAATAGCATATAAATCCTCAGAAGTTACACATATTAGCCTACTAAACAGCCTTTATATACACTCAAACAGAACACAAAACTTCAGATCAGCTGACATATAGTGAATGAATGCATTTAATCCAGGCATCTCTAAGAACAGAAGGACACACATTTAATGCTCAAACACTTTTGCTTCTGCTCCTCACGTGACGTGGACTTTGCTAATCAATGCTGTGGCTCCTCGTCCCATCTGACCCCACATGACAGCTCTGATGCTGCTCTCTATACATCAGACCCCAGTATAAATCTCAAGCTCGTCTCTATCTGTTCAGTGACAGGACGCTCAGACCGCTGACAGATCTTCACCATGCAAACAAGAATCTTGCTGCTGACTCTGACCCTGACCATGGGGATCAACATGATGGCAACGGGAGAACCGCTTCACGCTCAATGCAGAGTCATATGGTAGGATACAATTTACCTGGAGGTTTTTGTGTGCATATATCGGAAAAGTCATTTCAGCTGCTGTCAGTGTGTTTGCATTCATATCATAGTGTAATAAAAATGTAGGTGGGTCATTTCATTTAAGTCAAATGGTACACTCTAAAAAATGCTGGGTTAAATACAACCCAGAGCTGGGTAAAATGGTTTGTATTTAACCCAGCATTTTTTGGAGTGTACACTCTAAAAAATGCTGGGTTAAATATAACCCAGCGCTGGGTTAAAAAGGGACGAACCCAGCGGTTGGGTTGTTTTGAACCCAACCGCTGGGTCAAAGCAACCCAACCTCTGGGTCAAAACAACCCAACTTCTGGGTCAAAACAACCCAACCACTGGGTCAAAGCAACCCAACCTCTGGGTCAAAGGAACCCAACTTCTGGGTCAAAACAACACAACCTCTGGGTCAAAGCAACCCAACTTCTGGGTCAAAACAACCCAACCTCTGGGTCAAAGCAACCCAACCTCTGGGTCAAAACAACCCAACCTCTGGGTCAAAGCAACCCAACCTCTGGGTCAAAACAACCCAACCGCTGGGTCAAAGCAACCCAATAGCTGGGTCAAAGCAACCCAATAGCTGGGTCAAAGCAACCCAACCGCTGGGTCAAAGCAACCCAACCGCTGGGTCAAAACAACCCAATAGCTGGGTCAAAG